GAAGCTACAAAATCATTTATTAAGTATGATATAGGAAACCAAAAAAAACCAAACCCATTGCCGTCGAATCAATTCCAACTCATAGCAACCCTACAGGACGGAGTAGAACTGCTCCATAGGGTTTCCAAGGACTGCTTGGTGGATTTGAACTGCTAACCTTTTGGTTACCAGCGGAACTCTTAACCACTATGCCATCAAAGTTTCCATGATATAGAAAGGATCCATGAAATATGTGAGAGACTAAACTGAACTACTTTCTAAAATCCATTTCCATTTTAGTACTCCATAATATTTATTTCTTTTCAGCCATTCATTCATTCATTTACTCATTAATTTAGCAATTTTTAGTTTTTATCTTGCGTATGTCACTGTGCTACTTGTTTAGGGCACAAAGATGAATAAGATGTAACCCATGCCCCCAATGTAGTCATCAATTTAATTATATATTTTTGGTAATACCAAGGAATTTTAATACAGGGCCTAGAACTTACACGTCTATGAGACAATAAAAACACTCTTGCCACCCCTTGCCTCTTTAATGCACCTTATATATTCTAGCCACAACGGTCATCAAAATAAGCCATACATTTCCATTCTGTTATTTCTTTGCACATTCTTTGCCTTTTCTTAATGTAAAATCTCCTTTTACTTCTAATCCTAAAACAAATTTACTTACTCCTTCTCCTGTACTTTCTTATGAGTTCATTAGTGTACTGTTCTTCTTACATTGCCTCTTAATTAATTGTGTGCATGTGTATTTTTCCCACTGAATTATGAGATCTGAGAGGGCAAGGATTTTAAAGCAATAGGTTGCTAATCCAAAGGACCTGCGGTTCAAACCCACCAGCTGTTCCCCAGCAGAAAGATGTGGCAGTCTGCTTCCGTAAAGATTTGAGCCTTGGAAACCCTATGGGGCAGTTCTACTTTGTCCTATGGGGTTTCTATGAGTTGGGATCAACTCGACGGCAATGGGTTTGGTCTTTATCTTTGTATAATCAAAGCCCAACAGAGTAAGTGGCCAAAAAATTTTTCAATTGTAGTAAATAAGATAAGACTTGGAACATTGGGAAAATTCATGATGTAGAAAATCAAAGTTTGAGCTATGTTTTACAAAACAAAGTAAACTAATCTACATTTACATATATTAATAATGAGCTTTAAAGATTTGTTAACAAAGTAAGGTAGCACAACACTTCCTTAAACATTGAAAACATTCATGTTTATAGTAAGGTGTAGGTCAATATTCCAATTACATAGTTTGGAGAAAATGTTCAGATTTTCATCACTGAATTATCATGTCCCTTTCCTGACAGCCAATTTTTAAATTATTTCTAGAAACAATGAAGAAAAATGTATGTCAAATAAAACACAAGCAATAAAAGCAGACAGTGAAACTGAACATACTTTTAACAAATATTGACTTTCATTTCTGCAGAAGTTCTGAACTTTTAAAAGACCTATTTTAGAAAATTATTAATACAACACAACATTAATAGATGAGAAAAATAAATCCTACCTTGAAAGTTGCTTTCACAAAGGGTATATTTTTTTCTAATCTGTTTCTTTTTTATTATAATTGTTGTGTGACAATTTGGAAGATATTGCAAAATAGTACAGAAAATCGTGAAAAGGCAAAGCATTCTGCAACATCTTTACACATCAATAATAATTTCTTTTATACATCTTTAAACTTTATTCCTATGATTCCTAATTTATTTTACTTTGATGAAATTCTATTGACTATATCATTTCTGTATTACAACCAATGGATTAGAGTTGCATTAGATTTTACATCTCACGGTTATACTAAACTGCCAACCACATCTTCAGAAGATTAAATGTCACCTTTCTCATATAAATCAAATTAGAAATGAGTCAGTTTTTACACGTATATTCATGAAGATGTCTCATATTGTATTCAGAATTTGTCTGAATAGAGATGAGCCTTTCACCTTTTGGTAGTTACTTGAGACTTAAAGAATGACAAGCAATTCAAATTAGTTTTCATGATGTTAAATTATTTCATAGGTCAATATCATGTATTAAATTATTTCACCTCTGAGTCTCATCAAACAATTTTACAGTGAGTGTACTGAGAAACGGTAACCCCACTGGTGTAGTGGTTAACAGCTATGAGGCACTCCTTGGAAACCCTATAGGGCAGTTTTACTCTGTCCTATAGGGTCACTATGAGTCAGAATAGATGACAATGGGTTTGTTTTTTTTTTTTTTGGTACTGAGAAATATTTAATTTGCTGACAAAACGTAAAGTTTTTAAATTATTCCTGTTCAATCACTAGTTTGTCTCAAATGCATAGTGACAAATTTTTATAGATTTACAGTTTCAAAATTCTTATCAAAACATAATTTGTTAATTAAAAAAATACTATGCCATTTTACTACCAGATAGCTCTTGCTCCTGAAGAAATGTGCCTTTTAATTTATTTTTTTTTAGAATGTCAACAAGTACTTACTGAGTACTTCTGCCTCTTTCTGCTAGATATTTTAGGAAATATAAGAAAATTATAAGAAATGACCCCTAACCTCCATGAAGTTTCTATTTATTTTGAGTTATTAGTAAATCATGAAATGTCTAGAGGAGTCATGACCCAAGAAAAACGAAAATGATAGCTTGCACTTAAGACATACCCTGTATTCATCTGCTCCTCACAGTGATGTATGAGGTAGGTACTATTATTGGCCCTATTTTAGAAAGGAGACTCTGAACCACTGAGAGGTTAAGCAACTTGCTGCGGTCCTGTGGCTGGCCACTGCAAACCCTGATTAAAGCCCTAGAGTTAGTCACCATGCTATGTTGTCGTTGTTGTTAGTTGCTGCCCAGTCTATTCCGACTCACACTGACTCCAGCAGTTAACCATTTGCACCACCCATGGACTCCTATAAATCGAAACCAAAACCAAACCCGTTGCAGACAAGTCGATTCTGACTCACAACGGCCCTACAGGACAGAGTAGAACTGCCCCACAGGGCCTCCAAGAAGGGATAGTGGACCTCCGACCTTTTTGGTTAGCAGCCGAGCTCACTCCTATACCCCCACTCAAATAGAGACCTGGAAAGTATTAAAGCCTGTGTTCCTAGTGTGAAACAAAAGTAAGACTTGAAACCTTTAATGTGCTATTGTTTGCAGTAATTCTTTAAAATGGGAATAAAATGTGTAGTGCTTCACAATAAGTTTTAAAAATGTAAGCCTGGTTTGAATGGACTCAGAGGAAATGGTTACAAAGCAGAGGATATGTTTGATACTGTAGAATTAGTATAAAAATTAAATAGATTAAAAGCCTAAATTTAAAAGATTTAAAAAAAACTAGAGAGAACTGTTTATATAACAGTAAGATGAGAGACGCCTTTTTGAGCTTAATATCAAAATGACAAAAAGAAAGTTTTAGAAATACGACTCCATAAAAATTTAAAGACATTCAACTATAGAAAGATCATTCAAATCAGGAAGAGACACTTCAAATGTGTGAAACAAGGAGTTTTTAGTTTAATATATAAATAAAAAAGTAGAAGAAAAACACAAAGAAATATATAACTAGAAAAGATGGACAAACAACTTAGAGCTGGCAAGTCATACACGTATGCATTCACTTCAACTTAACAGAGAAAGAGTTCAATGTTCAGTAATCAATAATAAAAGTTTTTTACAGAAATTATCATAATATAGCAAAGTAGAGGAAGAAAAATCTCATCATATAGAAATAGAAAGTAGAGACATGTAAACTACAGAATAATGACATATAAAGCAATAACATATTCATGTTGTGAATGGGTATATATCACTTGGCTCCTCTTGGGGAGAGTAAATACTACCAAAGATAATATTGGTTCATAAATTGAATTAACTTTAACCACTTCAGGTACACCTGCACTTACAAAGAATTCTCTGCCAAAAAGCTCAGCCTTTGATTTTTTTTAAAAAATAAAAAATGCTAGATCACCTTTGCTTGAATAAAATAAAAATAGGCTTCTGATAGCTTCTAAACCTAAACACAACGAACATGTTATGGAGCTTCACTCACTCTTAGACATCATTTTTTTTATATCAGTGTATATATATATATTTTTATTATGCTTTAAGTGCAAGTTTACAGTTCAAGTTAGTTTCCCATACAAAAATTTAGACACACATTGTTATGTGACCCTAGTTGTTCTCTCTATAATGTGACAGCACACTCCTTCTTTCCACCCTGGATTTCCTGTATCCATTCAACTAGCTCCTGACCCTTTTTGCCTTCTCATTTCATCTCTGGACAGGAGCTTCCCATTTAGTCTCATGTGTCTACTTGAGCTAAGAAGCACTCTCTTCACAAACATCATTTTATGTCCCACAGTCGAGTCTAATCTTTCTCTGAGGAGCTGGCTTCGGTAATGGTTTCAGTTCTGGGCTAACAGAGGGACAGGGGGCAATGTCTTCCAGGGTCCCTCCAGTCTCAGTCAGGCCATTAAGTCTGGTCTTTTTACTAGAAGTTGAGTTCTGCACCCCACTTTTCTACTGCTGCGTCAGGGACTCTCTGTTGTGTTCCCTGTCAGGGCGGTCACTGATGGTAGCCAGGCACCATCTAGTTCTTCTGGTCTCAGGCTGATGCAGTCTCTGGTTTATGTGGCCCTTTCTGTCTCTTGGGTTAATATTTTCCTAGCATCTTTAGTGTTCTTCATTTTCCTTTGCTCCAGATGGGTTGGAACAAATTGATGTATCTTAGATGGCCACTTACCAGCTTTTAAGACCCCAGAAGCCACTCACCAAAATGGGACACAGAGCATCTTCTGAATAAACTTTGTGATGCCAATTGACCTAGATGTCCCCCGAAACCATGGTCCCCAGATCCCCGCCCCTGCTACTCTGTCCGTCAAAGTATTTGGTTGTATTCAGGAAACTTCTTAGCTTTTGATTTAGTCCAGTTGTGCTGACTTTCCCTGTATTGTGTGCTGCCCTTCCCTTCACCTAAGATAATTCTTATCTACCATCTAGTTAGTGAATAAAAAATATGGAACACTTTAAGAATTTGTGTGTCATCCTTGCGCAGGAGCCATGCTAATCTTCTCTGTATCATTCCAATTTTAGTACATAAGCTGCCGAAGCAAGCACTGTATCAATGTACACTAGTTCATCAGCAATAAGTACAATATTAAATATAAAAAGCACTTTCATTAAATATTATTTTATAACTACTCTGAATCATATTTTGGGATTGTGACAGAGACAATATTACGTATTCATCACATCATTTCTTCTTCCTGGGCATGCAGGAAAACTGCATTTGCCAACTTTCCTTAAAGATAGGTTCGGAACTCTGTAACTGGACTTCTGGCCAACGAAATGTGGAGTACACCTTGTCCTTAAAAACAATCCATTTGATCCTTTAGCCCTCTCTTCCTTTCCATGACAACGTTGGAAGCCATGTTTTCCAGATGGTAGGGTTACAATGATAGAAGCTGGACCCCTGGGCCACCAGTTAGAAAAAACCTTTCAAGGAAAGCTGCTTTATCTGTATCACTGTGACATCAAAAAAGAGACTTTTGTTTTGTTAAGTCACTGTGATTTTGAAATTTTTACACAGCACTGCCTAACCTATTCTAATAGAGAGTTGCCCTATTAAATTGATTAACTGAACAAAAATATTGAGCAGTAACTTAAAAAACATAATTTTTTTAAAATGAAAAAGAGCAATAATAATGAAAATGACTCAAATGATGATTCACTAGCCTCAAAACCAAAATAATCAAGTTTACAGAAAGTGAAACATAAACCATACAAAATCATATTGGTGATTAAGTTTCAGTACAGCTTCAGCAATTTGCTTTCAGAATATTGTCATTTACCACGCTAATATATTTTTACTTTGGTTCATAAAGTGAAGGGTTATAATTTAGCAGCATGATACTCATTTTGCTTTTAAAAGAAGTTTGCTTTGAAAACATGTTTAAGATAAACAATCATTCTCAATGACTTCCGAAGAGTAGAGGTATCCTTTAATCCAAACAATTTCACTAGGTTCTCAAGACATTCAATTTCCATACTCTACTACTATATTGTTAAAGGTATAATCTTTAACTTGTATTTGAGGAAGCTCTATGCTGAAAGCTAAGAAAGCCCTTCTAAGTAGTAAGCATTTACACATTTCCTTGAGATATCTGAATGACAGATATTCTCAATTATGAATACGGTGATTTCTATAATTTAATTTTATATTTGAATTTAGCAACATGATTTTTCTGAGAAACAAGTTCATATAGCATTATTTCACATTTTATTATTTGCATAAACCAAAACCAAACTCACTGCCTTCAAGTCAATTCTGACTCATAACGACCCTATAGACAGAATAAAACTGCCTCACAGGGTTTCCAAGGCTGTAAATCTTTACATAAGCAGATTGCCACTTCTTTCTCCTGCACAGTACATGGTAGGTGGAAACCATTGACCTTTCTGTTAGCAGCTAAACACTTTAACCACTGTGCCACCAGAGCTTCATTATTTGCATACTACCCATATAATTTTGCTATGCTCATATACTTCCTAGTCTATTAAGCCAACTTAAACTAATTCACATTTTAATATGTATATAACATAAAAGGTTCTCTGCTAGTCATATTTTTACTACATATTAAAATGAATATATAGCCATTGTACTAAAAATTATCATATATGAATATTACAATAAAGGATGATTAGGTTCCAGGTAACCAATACTCCCCAAAACATACTGTATTTATTAAAATATTGTTACATATGATAAATCTATTAAAATATTAATTTTTGTTGTCCTCCCCATATATTCCCCCAATCCATCCACTCCCATTTTGATCTGGTAGCAAGACTTTGTAGTTCTTTGTCTCAAGGTTTTTGGCCAGGAGAAAAGCAGAAGTAGTCTGAAGTCTCTATGAACTTTAGTTCATGGAGTGCCCTGGAGAAGAATGGCAGATCAGTGAGATCAGTAGAAATATTCCCCAAGACCTGGTAAGAGAGGAAGTCTGTGAGTCCGAGAAGGCTATGGTAGCAGCCAAAGAGGTGACTAGATCTCAGGGGGAATGGCTGGTGAGAGAGACTGTATCACAGGCATGAGGACTCCCAACCGCCCTCAGCCTCCCATACCCTGGGGGAGCATCAAGGCAGCAGAGCTATGCAATCTAAGAGGTCCATGAAAAGGCTAGTGACCAACTCACAGTAGAACAGATAAACATGGCGGGAAAGTGCTCTGGTACACCCAAAAACCCCAGAAATTTGGAACAACTGGTTTGGTTGGATGTTGGGAAGGGGATAAAGGAGATGCCAAGACTGACTGAAGGTAAATTATCCACTGAACTGGTGAGATGGGGACAAAGAGTTGGAATTCAGTTGATTTAAAGAAAACGTTAAGATCTGGTATTGATTACACAACTGAGTTTGCGGATTAAGATCCATGCCTGCTACACCAGTCAAAGCACATTGCTAACAGAACCCAACCACCTTTTAGTAGAGGTTTTCTAAGAGAACTATAAAACTAAAACCAAACCTGCTGCTGTCAAGTTAATTCCAACTCACGGCCACCCCATGCATTACAGAGTAGAACTGCTCCATAGGGTTTTCTTGGCTGTAATCTACGAAAGTAGATCATCAGATCTTTCTTCCATGGTGTTACTGGGTGGGTTCGAACTGCCCAGGGACCTAAAGGAACTATAAGTTTCACTTCAGGATGACTGTAATATATTTCTTCAGCCCAAGTTGCAGTATTAAGCCCTCGTGACCTCTCCCCATAAACACACAGACACAGACACAGACACACACACACACACACACACACACACACAGAGTCCCACCAATACTCGAAGGTACACAGACTAATAAGGACTCTTTCTCCTAATTTTACACACTCTAGTCCCCCCAGCAACAAAAAAATACTCCCTTTCAAGAAACATTCTTTAGAGGAACACTTCTAGTATCCCTAGGGAGGAACTGAACCCAGAAATGAAGGAAGCATCATCTCCATGCTATGTCCATATATGGATCATTCATGATGCTTAGTGAGAGAAACTATACAAAATATTTTTTAAAATTACATGTCTTTGATCACTTATCTAATGACTTTTTTAAGAAGTGTCAAAAGCAGCTTGAATGTCTCAAATTTATTGTCTATTAAAAACTTAACGTTGACAACTCAGTTACATTATGTGGTATTACGGTAAATAAAATATAACCTTTTTAGAGGTTTATTTGTTGCCTTTTTAAGAAACACTCTGATATCATCAACTATTTAGAGGTTATAGTCGAATAATGAAAAAAATTGTTCAGTATTAAACATTAGGTTAGAAATTTTGACAACACTCACCAAGATCTGTCGATTGTGTAATACAACAGTTTTCATTCTGCTAGTCATTTGTATAAACTTTGTAGGGTTTAAAGGTTGGATAACTTCAGGGAAATCCTGAATTTTTCCACAAAGGATATTTCTAAAATTCTTTTGGGAATTATTACCTAAGACTGATTTTTCTGTCTATTAAAAAAAGATCTCTATACATTGGCATGGAGTCTCCAGAGTATATCAGATTTTTATTCATCCTGATTCCCTAAATGATCTTCCCTGAAATGGGAACTACTGAATTAATACAAAGCATATGTTGCTAAATAGGAAAGAATTCTAGTTAATGTGAGCTACTGACGTAAAATTTAATAGAAATGGAAAAACTAACTCTCCCTTATATGACCTCAGCAAAAGGTCATGTTTTTTGTTTTGTTTTGTTTTGTTTTTCTTCTTCCTAGAGGTCTTCAAACACTAAATTGAAAACAGTTAATTCAGTGCTGTCACTCACTCTGTCACCAACTATACACTTACTGTCCCTCTTTTTACATTTTTTACCAGAGCCCAGTACAATATCTAAAAGGAAGCAATATAGGAGGACTAAAAATAATAAGAAAACAAAGAATAAGGTGAAGTTTGACAATGAAGCTTTATTTCCTCTAACTACAGCTTTAAGCTATTAGTTGAGAAAATTTAATAAAGTACCGAAGTTTCCTATTCCATGTCTCATTCTAAACAATAATGTACCTTAATAGCTTCCCACTCCATGATTGGTCAATTATTCAACAGCAGTGATTTTTTTTTTTTTTAATGGAAAAGGTATGCTCTTCTGTACATGTTTAAACAGAAAATCAAAATGGATGCCACTCTAGGGTTATCATTATGCCACAGGGGAAAAAAAAAGAAAGTAATACTTTCATTGATTATTTTATTTTTGAAAGACTTTTAGGTACAAGCATTTGGATGTTCTTTAATTCCTGTGATTTAGAAAAGATCTCTTTACAAGCAATACATAGTTTATTTTTCTAGGAATTGTATAATTTTGAATAATAAATGATTTACATTGTTTGTTTTCCCCTTTAATAATTTTTATACAAATTGTTCTGTGCCTTTGGTTACAATTTTTACAATGTGTTAGCAATCTCATTATTTCCATTCTGTTTGTTCTGTTTCCATTGATCTAGCTTCCCTTCCCCTCCTTGCCTTCTCATCTTTGCTTTTGGGTCACTGTTGACCATTTGGACTCATACAGTTAACTGTCTAAGGGAGCATATTATTCATAGGTAATATTGTTTATTTTATAAGCCAATCTATTATCTGGCTGAAAAGTGACCTGCAAAAATAGTTCAATTCCAAGTTCAAAGGGCAATAATCTTGGGGGTTCCTTTACTCTCTATCAGTCCAGGAGGGCTGGCGTTTTTTAGGAATTTGAGTTTTGTTCTACATTTTTCTCCTATTCTATTCGAGACCTTCTATTACATCTATTCGGGACCTTCTATTATGTCCCTGGTCAGAATGGTTGGTAGTGGTAGCTGGGTACCATCTAGTTCTTCCAGTCTCAAGTTTGAAGAGGCTGTGGTTCGTGTGGGCTATTAGTCCCATAGGCTAGTTTCTTCTTTGAGCCTTGATTTCCTTCATTCTCTTTTGCTCTATATGGGTAGAGACCAATAGTTGTATCTTAGGTGGCTGCTCACAAGTTTTTAAAACACCAGATGTTACTCACCAAACTCGGATGTAGAACATTATCTTTGTGAACTATGTTATACCAATTGACTAAGTTATCCCCCAAGACTATGGTTCCAAGCCCTCC